CTTCAAACCCTTGTTTGTATATACCTACATGCAAATTTCTTTATATATCGCAAACTAAGTACTTAAATACCATAAAATTTTGATATATAGATTTTTAACCTAAAAATATAAATTTTTAGAAATTTTAAGCTAAAAATTCATCCAAAAACTCAAGATATGGCTCCAACAATTACTATCAAGAAAATGACTCACTTACTACCTTTGAATTACATATGGTGTCTTCAACGCTCTATAACTCCTTCATACAAACTCCAAATGCAAGAATTCTTTGGCAAAAGATGTAGATCTTAAAATCACCCTTCTGGCCATACCTCCTAATCTCCAAAAGCTATTGTAAAACTCCTTTTATCTTTAAAAGAACAACAATATGGCTTAAAAAGATACCTTAACTTCAAATGTATATAACTACATCTTCTTAACTCCAAATCCTCTAAAATTTGTATACAAATTTTATACCAAATTCTAAACCTTACAAATCTTACTTCTAATTCTTAAATGCCTCTTTTGAAGTTACCACAACCCTTGTTATAATCGTGGACAGCCTCTTCAGAGCCTATTGGGTATGGCATTCGACCAATAGAGATGAAGATCTTCACTCCTTGCTATCATCCATCCTTATTCTACTTTTATTCTTCAAAATAAGTTTCTTAAAGGTTTGGATCTTCATTTTTGAGTTCCAATCTTTTCTTTAAATTTTATACTAAATATCTAAATTCTATATAATTCAAACATTATAATCAAAATAGATAAATCTCAAAATAAATTTTCTTATATCAACTCTCTTTAAATTAACCTACTAACCACTTTAATACACATCAATACTTATAAATATATCATATGTTTTAGTTAGTTCTTACATACTATAAAAAATTATAATATGATAACATTATCTAAATTGATTATTAATATCAATTGATTTAAGTCTAATACATGACAACAATTCAAAAAAGTATTAGTTATATAAGATATATAAAATATGTCATAGTAATTTCAATTAGTATTAGTAACAAGTTTTAAATTGATGATTCTACTTCTTATATTTGAACTAATTGTTTTAAGCTTTGTTTAGTGTAACTTGCTTAATTGACAATCTACTTCCTTGTATTTGAACCTTGAGAATAATTAGCTAAATCAAATAGGTAAAAAAGACTAGTTTAATATGTTTGTAAGATTATTCTTATTGTAAAAAAGTATAATAAGATTATAACTTATGGACAAAATCAAATCTATATATATTGTTTGTTTCACAAATTTAAACATCTCTTTTGTAGAAAAATTGACTTTATCAATTATAGCTAGAAAAATTATATTGATACATTTGATTTTAATAAGACATTAAAATATCTTTCTGTAGAGAATAGCTTCCATTTTGATTTGCCAAAAATTATGGTTATAAATTCCTTAGAATTTATTTAATTCTCAAATCTTATAATATTTATTATTATCAACTATGATATTGATTAAGATTTGTATAAATAAACTAAGAGTTATAAAACTTGATACAATTGAACTTAATATTATAATTTGGTTATCTACAGCTTTTGGACTTAATTCTCTCTTACTTGTATTTGTATACATATAAGATCATTTAGAATTGTGAAAATATAAACTATAAAAAAAAATGGCTAAAAAAAGGTCAAAATTTTCTTTGAAACTATAACTATAATAATACCAATCTATGAAGGCAAAGAAAGAAAAATAAATAAATAAATAAATATTGACTACATAGTTCATTAAATTAAATTTAAACTGATAATCTAGGCATGGAGAGCAAAATTCACTATTCTAATTCTAAATGCTATTGGTATGGCTCACCATGTTGTCTTTGAAAATAAGCTACAAGAACTTTGTTACGATATTACATATTTTAAATAAAATACTTTCAAAAAATTAAATTCATTATATTAAGGATATATATTTATTTTTTTGGTACAAAAGTCAATTTCAAAGGAAATTTGCTATATAATAATGCTAAATAGTAAACCAAAAAGATATCATACTAATAATGTAAGCAAGATTTGTACAACTTATGATTTAGAACAAATATTTATTAAACTAATTTCTAAAATAATAATCAAAAACATATCTTGAAATCATTAATTATAAGATATATAAAGTTTGTGTGTAAATATAAAAACATGAACCTTAAATATGTTTATACATTTGAATAAGATCAGAAAAAATTCAAAATATAAATAGATACAAAGTAAAAATTTGAAGTGCACTTTATAAATAATAGATTGTCGGCAAAGCATTCTTTTTATATATAATATCAGGTCCGGGAATAAACTGCATCATAAAAATTGTTCATCACAAGGTTAGTAGCAATTGTAATGCATTTCTCTCCCTCCCCCTCTCTATCTATATATAATATGAACATATTTGGATTTACAATGTTCAAAATGTATTTATATTATACACTGTAATATAATTTATCTCACACTATCATAGAAATCTCATGCAAGCATTACGATCAGGGAGTAATTAGAATGTAGTTCCATGCATTTGTCAGAAATTCTACATTCCATGAAGAAATCTTGCATGATTTCAAGAATTAGTGTTCAAAGCAAATTCGAGACCACACTAATTTTTAGCCCACATTAACAGCGATTGTGTCTTTGAAGCTTCCTGGAGCTTCGCACTCTGCTGTTGTCTCCGTGAAAGTTTTTGCTCTTATGTTTGTCACGATTTCTCGTCGTCGTGCCTGTTGCGTGCATTCTGTGTCGATCTATTTAAGTGTATGCATATATATATATATATATATATATATAATTTTAAAACAGAACGGGGTTTACTCGATGTTTTAGATTGATTATTTTGTAATTACAATTGCAAGAGCAGTCGAGCGAGGGGGTTGGTGCCCAATGCAATCGCAAGTGCGATGCCGATGGTGTTGCCAATGTAGCTGTCTTCGCCAACATAAGGAGCCGCAGCGGAGAACATCACACCGACACTTTCTCAGCTACAGTCGACCTGCAGTCGCTGGAGACCTCTGCTGATGTGGTGGAGGTGATCGACGTGCGGCTGTTGAAGCAGCTTGTGGTCGAATTTGCATGTCTGCTGCGAGATTATCTGGAGGCGCGCACGGAGTTTGTGGACCAGCTAGAGAAGTTCGTTGAGTCGCACGGAGAGGCGAAGAAGCTGCGTGCCTTGGCTCCCACTCCTGATTCGTATCTGGAGCTCGTATTGGACGCTGAGTGATAACTCTGTTATTCCTGTATCTGTTGTGGCTTTGCGTATCGATTGAACGGATGGTGCTACTGGTGAAAAACCTCCGACGGATGGATGAGATGGACAGCGATGAGGCAGCTTGTAAACTTCTGTAGCAGTAAGTAAAATCTGGTGATGTCAATGGAGAACAAGGTCCGGATTGTGAAAGCGCTAGGCACCGAAAGATTAATAATAGTTGTAATAATTATTAGAATAAAGTAGAAAAAGTCCTGCTGAAGTTCGGACTACTATTTCTCGAAGTTCTATTTCAGAACAGTTTATCTGCTCTTGCGCGTTATGAGATATTTTTCATATAGGTCCGCACATAAGTCCGCACTTAAATACTGTTCAACGAGATAATCTAATTATCGCCTCTCATGGTGAACGCCACCGTGGGGTATTTCAACTCATTTGACTGGTTTATTTTCACACATGTGTGGATTGTTGATCCGTTTTGATGATCAATTGAGGGGGAGAAATATGAAGGAAGCTTTCATTACAATGCAACATTTCTGATGCTCAGCTGGTGATTGTGGTTTTCTCACGTACAGGGTTTTCACAAGTGAAGGGGGAAACCGAGTGGACGGGAACCTTTGAGGAGATTGAGCGAGAGATATCCATTTATTCTTCTCAATCTGGTGAAAGTACAATCCATTTGTAAGAAACAATTGGATTTATTAACTGCGTTTGTGATAGTAACCAAAGTTTATCAGGAATTGCCGCATGTAGCATGCGGAAAAGTTCTACTTTGCATGCATTCGTCAGTGTTGTCACTTAACGTTGCAGAATTTTAAAGTAGCATGGAAATTTTTTTTCGCACGGGTCTGTTCTTTGCACAATTAACTAGTTTTTTTTTATTTTGTTCCACTAACAACTGAGTTTCTGCATTTACAATCGCTGAGTGTAATGCATGTTACCCTTGCAGGGAGTCTGACACGAAATTCTAGACCAGGATAGTTGTTGGACGTGTTTGTGGGGAATGAATTTGACAAAGTTGATCGGCTGATGGAGCTGTATCTTCGGTGGATTAACAATTTACTTACCTACTTTAGGCTAAGTTCCCAGAAAAAAAACATAATAATAATAATAATAATAATAATTGAGTTTGTCAGAATGTTACACATATTGATTATTTCTTAGTGGGATCCAGTCTTTGTGACTTTGGTTCTTTAGCGTTTGATCTAACCATGGAAAGACGTCTCCAGTTGCACTTATTATGGCTCGCATGTGACCGTCGGAGCAAGTGGTTCATCAATTCACTTTTCAACTACAGTTTCTACCATGCTTGAGGATCAAGACTTCCTGATAAGCTTTTAGTTTGTGTTGGGCTTGATACCAGGTTTAGGGCTTAGAGTTCTGATCATTTGCTTTAGTCATTAAAAATTTAAGGCACAAGCGAGAGAATAGGACTATTATTGAAGCAGCATCCGTTTGCAAGGGACGAGAGCAAAATTGTATTACTGGTAAGACAGATTAGATTGTGTATACAGTCAATATTCATTTAGGTGGGACATCGGTAGTGCAAGAGTTGGAGTATTTGTCAGATTTTTTCAATTTACGTGACCGTATACCAGTTCAGGACTTTACATTTCACTGCCGTCAATTTTAAATTACACATGAATACTGCGCCAACAGGAGTGGTATTGGGTGTATAGAGGGGCGAGACGAACGGTACAGCATAATTCAAACAGTAGTTGGTCTAACATAATGAGGATCAGAATCAGAGGTTACTCCAAGAGTGCTATCAAAAGTTTTGTAGATTTCATTTCGCTGTATAATTCCATCAAAAATTGTGTATAAATATTCTGATTATTTGCTGCAAAACTCTGGATTTTATTCCGACCCAACGTTCCAGTTTTATAGAGTTGTCAATCATCTGAAACAAGCTAATTACACTGCTACATTCTCAGCACTCGGAAATCTAGCATAACCCGGCTGACCAACCACTATTAACTGCAACCACTGCCAGATTCGACTGAAAAAACTAAAAACGAACGGCAGTTCGTTCTATACATTCTTTGATATGAAAACTCAACACTGGGCGTATGCACAAATCTGGAAATCGCATCAATGCGTCAAGGCTCTACAAGTGGGTCTAGAGATTTTTCTCCACGGGAATCATCACTTCATTCGTTTTCAGGAACCATGGCGTCCACGGTGGGTTGTACCTTGCCAGCAGGTGATCTCCCATGATTTTGTATCCATCACTCTCTAAAGATGTCTTCAGCTTCTGCACCTGCTGCTCTTCCAGCTTGGGGTTGACGGTTCCACTGAACGTAATAACCCCATATGTCTTGCTTGGAAACTCTTTCAACTTCACTCGGTCATCAGTCGGCGTTGGAGCTGTCTCGAGAGTATAACTTGCGGGTAGCACGAATTGCATGGTCACCATGCTTTTATTCTCGTTGTCGCCTTCTCCGTCCTTAGTAATAACAGGGGCTGTCATGGATATTTTTTCTGCTCCTCCTGAAACGCGGTCAGACCAAACAGGTAGTTAATGGCGAGTGTATCATGGCCGCTGTTTTAAGAAAACATAAGGAGGACCAAATGGTTTTCAGCCAAAGTGGAGACACATTCAAAAAAAGGATCGACTCAAGTCGAGTTTTCCAGATCAACAACTGGCCGCTACCGCTGCAATCTACAAGTTTTTTGAGGAAGAACCATGCCAGATTTGAAAGTGTACAAGACTTCACGAAACTGTGGACAAAAAAAGCTTACCGTGCTCCTGAGTGATGACAGGTGCAGTCATGGCGATTTTTTCACCGGGTTCTGATCCCTTCTTATTGTAAGGTGTGCCGATTGCACCTATGTATCTTGCAAGTATCATAAACCCTCCATCTCTACCACTTTTCATAGACTTGGGGTCATAGCTAACCTCTGCAACCACGGCTGGCTCGTATTCCCTGATTTCGATGTCTCCTTTCTTTTCCACAGATTTGTACTTCGGCGTTTCCACTGTGATTTTTCCGAGAATAATGCCCATGGCTGCACCAGCGTTGTTTGTAGCTGTTCAACTACTGGTTCTGCACATGAATCCGAGGTGAGCGTAGGCGTACGTCACAGCAATCTCATCCCACAACTAAAGAATTGCATGGAAAATTCGGTTAGCACACACAAAGAAATCAGCGGCAATAAATTTAATAATTAATGGCAAGGAGAAGGAAAAAAAGGAAAAATTCAGCAGACACGAGTTGCCTCTCGATATTACACAACAAGCGCAAAACGAAGAGCACAATATTCACAAGGGAAACCTAAGCAATACGAACATGCAGCAGCGCTGCAAAAGCTAGAAAAAAAAAAACAAAACAAAACAAAACAAAACAAAAAAACAAAAGGCATGAGAATACTCTAATCTCGAGACCCAGTAAAAAATATACTCCTCAACCCCAAACTTCAGAGTCTAAATATCGGAATCAAGTCACCACTCCACATTGAGTTCAACCAGGCCGACTACGCACGACGCTCAAGGACAAAGCCTCTACAGGCGGAATTAATCCCTGAATTGGACCCCCCGCAAAGCGACGATTAAATTCCCACTAAACTGCGAAAACTGCTACAAATAACTGTAAGCAAGTTGCGGATGCTTCAGCAGTTGGAATTCTCACCCTGGACACACGAATTGGTTACAATTTTCGGTGGTGAGATTGAAGAACTCGCAACACAACAAAACACAATACAACGAAGACAAATGAGGGAGAGAGGAAGTGGATGGTGAAGAAAGGGGTCCGCCTATCTCAAAGCTGCTCCCACGCGGTATTACCGTGATGGGGCTCTGAGCATCGTTCGATGAGGTGTCGCATCGTGTGGTCTGAGGTGGACCACGATGGCATTGAAGATGGATGTGTTTCGCGGTAATGGGATGGAGGGGCTTTCTGGCCGCGTGGCAGTGGGCGCTGCTTGCTCCTCAAGCATTCGGGCATGAGTCATCGTCCTGCTCTGATGAAGATAATTGTTTATGTATTCATGTATATAATTTTCTCCATAAATATATATATATATATATATATATATATATTATCATTATTGACTTAACCCATATTAAGACCCAAAAAATATGTTAAGTGTAGAGGTCATTTTTACTTTTCATGATGATTAAGATGGGTCGGTTGATTTAATAAAAACTTGGGTACATTTCACATTCTCCTATATATATATATATATATATATATAATAGATATTATTTTTTATTTAATTATCTACTTTGAGATGATATATGGTCATTGTCTTTGTGCTAAGTTTGAGACAACAGATAGTTCATTATCTTTGTGCTAAGTAGAGTTGGATATTTTAAAGTTGAGGTTTGAACTACCAACTTATTGATACCAACCCATCACCCTTAGATAATTTAAGATCTTGTGGTTTTTAGTTTTTACAAACATTATTATGACTCATTTTCATAGAAGTCAATATTTAGAACATGATCAAATCTTGAATATTTATTCTAAATAATTAGTTTTAATCTTATTATATTTTATTTAGATTAATATTTTTTAAAAGAAAATTATTTCATTTACTCTACAAAGATGCTTGGTTTAAGTTAAATCCTAACTTAATTTTTGTGATAATACATGTAAAGTTATAGATTTATGTGTTTTTAATTATCATCTTTACCAACTCAATTGAAATAACGTGAAGCTCCTTTGTTAATTATTTTGCAACAATCAAATTTTTATTGACACAATTTTATTGTTATTAATAAGTAAGAAATTACAAAATGAAATTAAGAAAAGATTTCCTCATTATGTTTACAATAAAATAAAGTTACTACATATTTCAAATTCTATAGAGAGGAAAATGTAATAAAAACTAAAAGATAAGATAGATAGAAAGCAATCACATGATACCAAATAGAATACAAAACATTAAAAAATAAAATTGACATATATATAATCTGTACATCCCTATGCAAACAATACTGAAACACAACACAGTAGTTTTACAAAATTTACGAGCGAAAATTTTAATTTGACAACAGACATATTCTTGTTTGTAAGATTATAAATATTACTGTAATGAAATCAAATGATACATAAATTTAAATATATGTAAATTTTACTGATGCTAAATATTCAAGCAAGATTTCCCTTGCAAACCATGGAATTTCTTCACATAAACTGATGAAGGAAAATTGTTAATTTGGATTATTAATACACTGAATTGAACACTGAGTTGAGTACTAGTTATTTTTTCCAAATTTCCTGTAAGACATAAAGAGTTCCTATCTATTTACAATACATAAACAAGAGCATTGTTTTACTATACACATGGCTTTGATTATTTTTATGAAAATAGATTTAAGAAAAATTAAATTTTTTATTAGAGTAAATGTTAGAAATTATTTGCACAAACTCAAAGAAAATTACTTAACATGATAAGATGATATATTATATGTATATGTATGTATATATGTATGTATATACATAAATACATATAATTAAACAACTGAAATTTAGAACTTTTCCTCTCTATTTGTGTTTCGAACTTCCTTTTCACCTTGATCATTTGAAACTTAACCAGATTATTGCTAAAAAAAAATTCAATTAGAATTAGTTATCTTTATATTTTTTAGATTTGAATTTTAAATTATTATAACTGTTAACTATTATTTCCACAACAAATGATAGTTTATTTTGTTTAATGATGCACCAGAAATATATATATATCTATATATATATCTTATTTCATTTGTCATTTGATTAAAATGGAATTTCATCGAATGAACAAAAACATTACAAGCAAGAAGGCCCCACTATCCTATGTTATATATAAAACTAAAATAAATATACAACCACATCAAAGAAAATTGTGTATGAATCTAATAATAAGTATAAACAAAGCATGTAGCAATGCAAGTTTGATGATGGTACATCTACATCAATTGCAATAAGAAAAAAGGGTAGTTTTTATAAAACATCTTCTAAAACAACTTAAATATAAATTTGCAAAGTTTCAACAATATCCAATAATATATAAGGTGGAAAAGAATTGGTCACAATTTGTGTAGCTAAAATAAATGTTTAAAATATCATAAAAATATAATAATATTGCACAACAATCAATGTTAATGATGATATCAATATAAGTCCATCAATGTAGACAATAAACACAACATAAAAATTATAAACCTTCAATATCAAAGGTTTAAAATTTAACCTCTTTTCATTTGTACATAATCTTAAAAGTTTTTAAATATGTAATGAGAATGTATAAATAGTGTTGAATTGCATTACAATTTTTTATTTAATGTTACAAGCATTGGAAATCTTAGAAGAACCTACTATCTTACAAACAATTAGATCAACTTTGCATTTAAATGTCACCTTATAATTTGGTATTTAGAAAAGCATTTATTAGCACTCTATTTGAAGACACCAAAACTAACATGTATGTTAAAGGGAATTGATATGTTGATTGGAGGTTTTACTAAATTGACTAGGTTTTGGTAACATGACCTAGATTTAGATGTAGAGGTTCCTTAATATATGCATAGTAGTGCAAAAACAACTTCTCTTCAAGGTTACATCTTTCAATATTATCATGTATAGCCAAAAAGTGACCAAAACCTTGTTAATTTAGCTAAAATCCCAATAAATATATCAATTTTGATATTTAAAAATCTTAAAAGATGTTTTCATAAAATAAGTCTTCTCAAGATATTGTATACTTAACCATGAGTGTGATGAATATCTTTTTGCACAATATTTAGTATTGAATACTCTAAAGTATTTGAATTTATAATTCGATACTCTGTTTGTATTTTAAATTCAAGGATATATATATATATATATATATATATTTTTTTTTTTTTTTTCTTACTACTTTTTTATTACCACTTAGTTTAGTTAAGTCAATTTGTGTATATGTGTGTATTCATTCCACCTTCTATGTTCATATTGTGCTTTAATGACTAATTGAAGTTTCAATTACAATTGGTCATCTTGAATAGTGCAATGTCAAGATAAGAAAGCAATTTGAAAGTGAATATGACCCTCCTATTACATTTGTGATAGACTCTTAGCTTATATATGTCTAGTCTTAGATGTGGTTAAGTAATGCGTTTTTTGACTTTATAATGTTCACACATGAGATAATAAAGACATTTATCACCAACTGCAAGAATCATTGTTGTGTATAATTTTTGACATTTTATTGAAAACACAATGAATACATTATAAGTACATAATGGGTTATTTTGATGGATATTGGTACTGGATAATTATTTTATTTTAATTTTTGGCATATTAAAGAATTGTTATCTTTGTGCTAGCATCCATCTAGTGAAGATTTCATTGCTGGGGTTTGAATTGTTAATCTCTTGGTATCAATTTGGCATCCTTTGGTGGTTTAAGATTGTTATGGACCTATTATTTTGACACTTTCATAAATAGAAACCAAAAATTAAAGAAAGAGCAAATACTATCTTTTATTTGATCTTCAAATCTTTGAATGCTATTGAAATAAGTACGCAGTTGCAAGTGATCATTTTCGAAATAGTTTCAATTTCAGTTACAACAAAGTAGAGATAACAATTCAGTAAATTCATAGCTGAAAACATTACAGAATCTTCTTTTCTCTTTGTAAGGAATAGAAACATAAAATAAAGAAGAAAAAAAAGGATAAGTATGGAGTTCTATGTTCACCAGAGAAAAGATATATTACATTATCAATAAATTTAAGCAAACCATGTCAAACTGATCTTCCAAGAATGAATTTATCAGTCTAAAATTTGGTGGGTTTCCAAAATCGAACATTGTAATTAATTTTAGGATAACTTGATTGACATTCATTTAAAATTGATGGTACAAATGATATCCTCTCAACATGGATAACATATCTTAAGGTAAACTAGACCCATCAAAACCAACTTAGATTACAACAAATTAGCAACAGGCATTAGAAAACTGAACGGACATGGTGTCGATGTGATTGCTTGTAGACAGTTCTCCATGACAATCTAGGTTTTCTTGTACACCATGCTGTTCTTAATTGTTTTTTTATGTGTGTAAAAGGATTAAAACATGTGCTTTTTTATGTGAAAACAATATTTTTTTGGAAGTTGTAAGTGAAGGGTTGAGTATTTCGGTTATGAAGAAACTGCAGCACAAAATGTAAGAGAGAAGGGGAGTTGGACAGAAAGTTGGGCAAAGTCCAGATGGAACCAGTGTTGGAATCATTATATTACAGGATATCCGTCAAAAAAATAACTCAGCCTATAGCTTCACTAAATACAGTAAAGCAACAACTCATCAATACCAAGAGCTCCATCGAACCCACAAGCCTTATATACTACACATTAGGACATTGGATATGCATCTGTAAGACCGTACTTTTGATTGTCCTACAAATGTATATCTAAGCAATAAATTGATACAAACCTGGAAGTGTTCCACAAGGAACTTATTAGGGGCAGCTTTGGACTCTCCAACACCTGACGCCTATTCACGTCGACAGCCTTTCCACATCCGCGCTCTATAGGAATCAGAACTAGTGAGGAATCTAGGTCTTTTGCTCCTCCTTAGTGAAGTCTGAGCATGGCTGGGGCCAAACGAAGAAGTAGGTTCCAGCGACTGATGAGCAGTTCCAGTCGTCGGATTCAGACTTGACGTCAAGAGCTATGTTGGCCAGGTGAATGTTGTGGAAGGGAGACTCAGGAAGTCCCAGAAATAGGCCAGCATGAGTTATGTTTTCCCCCACCACATTCTCAATTGATATATTTTCAATCACGGGGTAGTCTGTCCGATTCCAGTTTTCATCAGGATGCTCTCCATAATTTCCCGTAAAAGCGATTGCTGTGCCCACGGAGTGCATGTCCACGTTGTCCACTGTTACGTTTCTTATGTAGCCCCCACGGCCTAGTCCAGTTTTGAAACGTATGCCCCATCTAGCACCAAAGATCATCATGTGGTCAACCTGCGGAAGAACATAAAAGGAATGAGTGTGCAGTCTCAACGCTGCTGAAGTTGCACGACGTAATTAAAACAGGACGCGGCAGATTCAGCTGGTGATTAACTTTCTGGATCCATAGAACGTAGATATTCCCGACTGGAGACGCCGTCGAATAACGGTTATGAAGGGTAACGATTTATGAAGCACTGCTTAATCTTATGAAAACTGAACAACTAAATCTAACCAGTTACGTTATCTGGAGTAACATGCTTATGAATTTTCTGCTGGTATTAAGACGAGAGCAACCTTCATGATTCTAAAATCTTCCTTCAACTGACACAAATATAACTCCATTTTGATCATAATATAAAGCTTCTCCAATAGTATTATCGAGGGGTGAAGTAATAAATTTAAAAAATTGCAATCTCTTCGGTCGATGAGGCACATCAGGGATAATATACTAACCTTGACATCTGATATGCCTCCAGACATTTCGCTGCCGAAAGCGATTCCGGCACTAGTTTTTGAATGCACGGTTATACGTCGGACGTCAATGTGTTTGCTAGGCATGCCATATGAGGTTCCATACTCATCCCAACCACTTTTTATCGCAATTGCATCATGACCAACGCTGATATAGCAGTCTTCGATGCACACATTATGGCTTGAATCTGGGGACCATGCCTTTCGAGTTCATTAATTCTGAAAGCAAAACAATGAAACCTTTCCACGCATTGATTTGATCACGTATCCTTCCATCAATAAGAACAAGCAGAACGAGGCCAATTCCAAAGCTGACTATCGCACGTTATTCAAGGCTTGTAAAGTCAGTAGCTGGGATCCGTGCAATGTGTATAAACAAATGGTGGGAAAAAGTGCAAACAGATATCAAGAGCAAACACATCCCACTAACCTCAAAAAGAGGTGCTTCATGAAGAGTTCAGCCCAGAAATTACTAAAGACGACCCATCAGTGTTAAGCAGATAAAACTGTGCCATCAAGTTACTCGATTCAGTACCTGGATCAATGCCGTCTGTGTTTGGTGAATCGAGAGGAGCCAAAATAGTCATATCTTTGACCACCACATTCCTAAGCAAACCCACCAGTAGCACGGAATCAATGTACTTGTACTGACTCTAACTCGTAAATGAACGAGTCCTAACATAAAAGTGACGAAGGCAGTTCCACAAGCTGACGCATTCTATTTCGGGAAATCATTCTGTTTCAAAACATCTTGTGGCAGCGAAGGGACTACTTGTTAGCACATGAGATGACCAGAGCTTTGATAGATATTCTTCAAAGACTAACAAACGACAGTCTGAATTGCCTACGACATCTGTATTTCGCTCAGAGAAAAGATGGTCCAATGAAACTTTCAAAAGAATGAAGCATGTTAAATTTTTCACTCCAAGAATACCTGCAGTAGACCGGATGAATCGTCCAGAATGGTGAGTCTCGAAAAGTAAGGTTAGAGATTAAGATGTCGCTAGAGTCAATAAGCTCGACCAAGTGACCCCGAGTATAATCCAGCGTTTTATTATAGAAAGCATCCCACCATACAGCACCTTGTCCATCAATCGTTCCGTTGTCACCTGGAGAGAATGCCATTGCCGCAGTCAGTAAGATGAGCAATTAATCACCTAGGAGACTGGCATCTTGACATACCAAGCAGCTGAAAGAACAGCCTTGAAATTTACATATGCTGCTGCGACGATAATTGCCTGAAAATCCGTGGTCTTCAAAGATAGGAGCTTTAAAAGCATCAAGTTACTACCTGTAATAACGACATCTTCAAGCCCTTCGCCATTGATGAGGCTGCTATGCCTAGGACCAGGAAGCTCACGGCCTCGACCATAAGAGGGCAATCCAGGAATAATAGGATAATCCTTCAAGTCCTGAGGTTAAGCACAAATGGATTGAGGCATGAGGCACCTAGGCTTCGGAAGTAAGACCTCTCATACAATGGAGGATACACAAATGCAGGGTACATTAAACCCCTACTTCATATCCGAAAATTAAGGGCTAGTCAATCAACTGTAGAATATAATCATGCTACTTGTCTTTCAACATACAATGACGCAATGCTACACTCATCATATATGGTAAAATCGTTGAAATAGTCTTCAAAAGATTCGAATACATTGGACGCTAACATATTGTATGAGCTTCAACAAGTACATACTTGTAGGATTCTACTCATAGTAGTGTCATCGCAAACGAGCAGTATTCGCCTGAATGAGCATCGGTATACCATAAGCCAGTTGACACATTAGAAATGCTGAAGCCCTACCTGAGATCCGAGAATTGTAGCTTCGTTTTCCAAGAATAGCGTCAGATGACTGATCAACTTTATGCTCCCAGTAAGCCATCGTCCAGCAGGAATGTATAATTGCACCCCACCCTTGTCCGCATACGTGCGGAGATAAAACATGGCATTCTCGAATGCGTGCGTGTTAAGAGTTTTTCCATCACCAACGGCACCAAATTCACTGATGGAAACACTATGAGGCCGATTCTTCCAGTTTTTATAATTGTTAGCACAACTTCCCTCCGTCTGCAAAATTTGGAAGTCACAAAATTCAGCCAAAAGCTTCTGTACATAAGAATACAAGATCATTCTCCCGTGCAAAAGGAGAAAAGGAAATAGAAAGCATTCGAAGCACATCGTCTCAGGATAAGACTAAAATTAGAAAGATATAATAGCACATTCGTTTACCAGTTGGAGAGACTTTACAACAGACCCTAGAGCTGCCTAGAACTACAGACACAATATCGTGATGTATTGTCGCACTTCTCAAACAAAAGCTTATTCAAAGATTAGATGTGTCGCCAGCACAAGAAGCCTCACAAGTCATAGAATTTCCCCTTATATACGACAGTCAAGCAGACATATCCAAATGACAATGGAGGAGCTCACCGAAGTAATATAACATCAAGGCAAGGAAAGAACGGCAGAGACTTACTTCGACAGCCTTCAAGATACTCTCGTGACCGGTCGATAAAGTGGTAGTTCCTACCACTCCATTGGAAACTGATTCAGCTGAGCCAGAGAGAAGAGGCCGACCAAACGTGCATGTCTGGCGGCAATTGTTTGCACTCATACAGGTTAGGAGGAGGACTAAGACTTGGAAACTTTGAAAGCTAAGTCTCCTCATCATCGGACCGTCGAAATACAACGGAAGAGTAGAAAGCAGTTTAGAGAGACCATCCGCCTAGTGCGTCACCACTATTAAGTAATTTCTCCAAGAAGGTCCCTTTGATTCAGTATATCTGATTCTGGAGGATGCAGCTTGCTGATCGAAGGATCTCCCGCTAAACCTCCGCGATTGCCTCTTTGCTCAGTATGCAACCACTCGTTATGTACGTAAATAGAACAGCTAGCTCCTACTTAGGTCTTGCACAACACCACAAGACAATTCCGAGCTTGAAGATCCACAGAGGGCACGGATTACATCAATCAACTCGCAGATCAAGCACTGATTCACCGAAACATACTAGCTCATAACCTACAGCTGTGATGGTCTGAGCGTAAGAGGATAACTTCAGCTCTCTCTCTCTCTCTCTCTCTCTCGAATTTCAGTGTAAATCGCAAAGTACTTCACAGAGAGATGAAGGACACAACTGGACAAAAAAAACATTAACCAGTCATGCCAGTCGACACGTGCATCGCTCCAAATCTCAACTCCCTCGCATCCAATATAGGAACTAAATCCAGTGGCAGCAAAACATCAACCTCTCACACAGCCCTGGCTTGCAACACACACCGTCGGAATTGATTTGTCATTAAATCTCTTCTTCAAAACTGAAATCCAAACCAAACCAAAAACCAACGCCACCAAAATCGAACCCTCGCATAAAATTCAGGACACCTCGCCCATCGACCGGTCACCGTCCCTGCCCTACGAACAAGCTCAGCTGCGCGCAAGGACTCGAAGGCCCTGTCACGCCAGGCCTTCCCTCCATAGCCATCATAAACAACAAGCCCTCCTCTCTCTCTCCACCTCACCTCACCTTCTAACGTCTCCGCAACTAATACCGCGCCACTCCCACACCCTCACGCCCTCCGAGAAAATTACAATATAAAAATAAAACAAAACCAACTCGAATCCTACTCAGATCTGCGACCCCGTCGCAAGCGACGCCCTATACTCGCTCCCCCTCACTCGCTGTCTCTCTGCCCACTACTGCACCCTCTGCCACATCCAACAATCCTCCGCACATGCTCCAGTGTACCTGACTGCCTCTACGACTACTGCTACGCCCCTCCTCTCCGCCTCCCCGACGTCACAGCCATAGCCGAAACAAATGTACCATCGCCATTCCCAGCAAGCAAACAAGCCTCCGCCAGGCAGCTAAAAGACCCGTTGGGAAAAAGATAAAGATGGCACGGACCCGATGCCATTCGTCGCTCGTCGATTTTTTTTTTATCTACATTTGTCCGTGGCAGTCACCATGTTCCCCTTCAGAATGGCCCTCCTACACGGAAGGATCGATGAATAATTGCTGCGACGAAAGATCATCCGTCAATATGAGGTACTTCTGGTGGCGTCACTTTGTAAAGGGTTCATTTCCTGGTTACTATCTTTCAAAGAAGGGGATGAGCTGGAGGGAGGGCACTGGTGACGATGTTGATGCTGATGATGATGCTGATGCTTATGCTGATGTTGATGCTAATGTTGATGTTGATGATGATGCACTGGCTTCCAGACGCCGTGGACAAAGCCCCTACCAAACCCTTCCATTTGCTCTTACGACTGCACAAGCTCAGCCTCCTCGTCGCCGCCCTCTTCGTCGTCTTCGTTCCGTCGGGCTCGTTCGTTTGTTCGTCCTTTCGATATTTCGTTCGATCGATCGTTCGTTGGTCGGGCTCTAACCCTTCATTGTTTTGTGATCCTTTTGTTCATCTCTGAAACTGAAGATTCCGGTTGGTTTTACAGACACAGGATTTGTACATTACCCACCCAACCCCCCTTTCCAAAAAGTATGCTTCTTATGTACTTCAATGGTGGATTTAATTAAACAAATTATTGCATTCTAAGGGGAATCCATATTCTGCTTTAAAAAAAGCCCAGTTATGAGTCATGTTATTTATGTGTGTGTTCTATGAGCATCGTTTATTAATATATTATTAGGATGAGTTCATAAAAAATAAGACAAGAGATAAAACATCCATTTTAACTTGCACAGAAAGCTTACATTCAAAGTGAAAGTGAAAGTAGAGTATATATATATATATATATATATATGTGTGTGTGTGCGCGTGTGTGTTCAATAATAGGGGTGCATTGTTAAATGACTGTATTATGATGTATAAAACTGCTATCACAATCTTTTTTGCATGAATTTTATGATTTGTTTATGACATAATTTGTGTTTAGGATCATGTTATTACATGCATTGCAACTACATGCATAAATTCACACACACACACACATGTATACATTGCAGTTACAATGCAGTATTTTGATTATTTAAGGATACTTTATTATTAAAGGTACAAATTTTCAGTTTCCTAATTTTGTTGTTAAATCAACATTATAAGCATCATCATCATCATTATCTATATATACAACAAATACATAAATTATTTTAAGATTGCACTATTCAGTACATTCTATTTAAGGCGATTCATGTATTTTCTGATGCTGAATTCTAATTTTACAATTAATCAAACCCTTTCCACACATGTATATATTAATAAACAAGACTCATTACTATGTAATATTATATATATATATATATATATATATATATACATATATATAAACACATGCACATACATAGTTGGGTAGGGGTGCACTTAGGGTTTGGGACAGGGAGTTGTGTGCTTAAGGGACAGATTTTACTATAGTGCAAGCCCCCCCCCCCTTCGCCTTGCAAGCTACAGATAGGGACCCCCCACCCTCTCTCTAATCACAATGGATGAGAGCTCCATGCCTTGGTTGCACCACCCTGCCACGTCGGAAGATGACGTCTACTTTCGTCGGACGATGACCTCTTTAACTCAGAGGGCCACCACTACCAGCTCCCCGCCCCTGCTCCCGCCAACTCTCTGCCAGGCTGGAGCCTCGTCGCCACCGTGGCGGTATGGCCCAGCTGGACAGACAGCTCAGCACTGCCCCGAAGGCTTCTGAGGAGATGGTCCTGGTCTCGGAGCATTACGCCACATAATGTGCCCTCCCGTTGTCCAGTCATATTTTTCTCTGGAAGTACCCGTTTCTTTAATATTATTCTTAATTTTGTCCTTTTGTCTCATTTCTTTTTCTTTTTCTTTTTTTTCTTTGCTACAAATATGATGTTACTATTATATTTTGTTGTCATTGTTTTCAACTTGCAGTAATTTTTATGATCGTCCAGATTCTATAAAGTATTTGTTATTCTGAATTGGTGTGCAGATTACCACACCATTAGAACTATAGATTTGGACCATGAGAGTATGTGTATATATATATATATATATATATTCATATATGGACTGTAAAGACACATTGTTTGAAACTTAAACATTATTTTTCCATGGTGATTATATGTACATATATAATCAAAAGTCTTCATCATTTGAAGTTTTAAGTTAAAACCACTGATTTTAAGAAATTACCATGGTGAAGTACATGACATCAATGCAGTACAAGTACTGGCTTGAATTTTGAAAGGATCCATACTTTGACATCAGTAGATCCGTTCAGGAGTGGTAGGCGAAGCAATTGGAGCATCTCCGACGGTTCTAAGACACCACAAGGAGTAAATCAGAGGCCCTCCATCAAGACCTTTACTGGTTACTAAAAAAAAACCAATTGAATACAAGTTGTAGTATGAGTTAGAAAAAAACCAATTGAATACAAGTTGTAGTATGAGTTAGAAAAAAACCAATTGAATACAAGTTGTAGTATGAGTTAGGGTCCAGAGGGCACTCCATTAGGGTGGATTGAATTAGGTTTTGGATGAGTTTTTGTATTGGGTGAGATTGATTAAAGAATGAAGTTTTTAATCGAGAATGAAATTAAGTATGGATGAAATAATTATTTATGAATGAGAAGTTATGTATGGATGATAATTTATACTTGGATGACTTCTATTAATGGACAATATTTAATAAAAATACTAAAAATAATAAAATAACAAATAACAAGTATATATATATATATATATATATATATATATCTTTATTAAGAATTAAAAAAATAATTCTTTGGACATGCATGTGGTGAGTAAATTTCTATTGTAAATGTGAGTTAATGACAGGGTTTTGCTTAATAATTTGTGAGTTTGAAGAAGATTAAAGAATGATTTGATTATTAGCTATAATGTCTAAAATTCTCATAATAATTCACTTGTGAACTAGAATAACCTTCCAACTAATAGAGGTTTATTTTAACTCCCAACAAGGACATATTGTAACAAATTACTAACAAATGACTACAATTTGTTGTTACAAGCTTATATTAGCATTGTCTAAAATCTTTTAGATATGTACATTACTTTTTAAAAATACTTTAAATGCTTCCATAATCTTTTAGAACTTTTTTAAAAAAATTAGAATCCTCTGGAGACTTTTATGGGTTTCCAAAAATCTGATTCTATTTTGTAAGAGCCACCATAATTATTTGAATATTGAAGATTTCCGCAATCAGGATTGATGTTATCCTTTTCAGGTAGACACAGGTGTGCACAATGGGGTACCGCCCACTTCATGAATCAATGAAAATTATTCTACATTTTTTTTTTTTTTTTTTTTTTTTTTTTTAATCTTACAAAACTGGAACCTAGGCTTGTGTCCAGGGATCACCATCTGCAACGAGAGAGAGAGAGAGCCTCACACTAACTAGATTGCAATACAATGCGAAAGCAATCCAAACCAGTCTGATCACACCAAGAAGAAGAAGAAGAAGAGTTTAGAAACTATACACAACTAGAAAACACGGGAGTACAGCTTTCGGGTTGAAAACAGTGAGCTCGTCCAGATTCGTTGCCATGCCCGGGGACACAGAGTCGTAGCCATCGGGGAGACAGGAAGCATCGATGAATCTAGAGGCTTTGTCTAAGGTTTTGCATATTCTGCCTGCGATTACTCTGCAGACCAGCATTGCGTGCTTCCCTCTCCAATTCTCTTTCTCCCTCGCTGTGATGATTTCGTGAGCTTTGCCGCTAGTTGCAGTAGTGAAGATTCCTCTTTCATTCCGAACCGCGAACCCCCATCGAATGATACTGCAGACGTTGCAAGAGGCCATGCTGCAGAGAGCAGTAGACCCGTTGGTTCCTAGACTACAAACGAACGAGGAGCCGTAGAATCGGAGGAGTTCGTTCCCGTCTGCTAGACATCGCTCATGCTGCATGCCCTCGTCGCTGGCTGACTTCTTCACAGCGTCGCGATAGCTCTGAAACTCCGATATGTGTCTGTCTGTGTTGTCGATTTTGAGAATTCGCTCGATTCTGACGCAGGGCGCCTCGACCGACCAACTTGTCTTGAATATGATCTCTATCACGTTAAGGGACGGATTTCCTCTCCCGAGCTCCGAGACTGCGGATATAGGAACCCAAGTAAGTTCAAATCAGAAGTGCCGTAGTCATTAAGAATTCTAGATGCTGTACTGCGTAGAGAAGTCACGTGACTTGTGGGTGAAGTGAGTCTAAGTTTGATTTAATTCTGAACACCGTATGCAGAGATTTTAATCAGTAACTGAAATGAACCAAACTTGCTTTCCACAACATGCTGCGAGACATGACTTCATTACATACCGTCCTTTCAATGGACAAATTGGATAATCAGTGAATTAGTCTACCTAAGAAGCGAAGAAAAATTTCTATGTGCCCAGGCTTACAACAGGTATTGAATTGTGAGCTAGGCATCCCATTATTGGGGAAGCAACACACAAACCGGACGTATGTCCACAAACACAGAGATAGGGGCGCACATGGAGAGCATGATCATCGAGGAACTACAACTTGTTCCACCCACCAAAATTTTAACAATCACTACCCATGGTTATGCAGATTCCCAGTCATCAGGGTTCGTTAATAGAGAGAACCCCGAGAGGTAGTTTGAAAATTCAAAGAAAACTATTCGAGAAATAGGGACAATCACTCAATACCCTTAACAGGTGTTTCAGGGCACGGGTTATCTGGGAGCATACCAGCGTGTCGGACGACTTGATGCATCTCCAGCGCCTCGGGCTTGGAAAAAGCCTCTCCACACTTCGGATAAACGCACTTCGGAGAGAGCGCGTCATGATGGTGAGTATCCCGAATAACAATCCCACCCTCACCTGAATTGCAGTGCATGCTACACTCGCTACAACCTTTCACGAAACACAAATTGTCCTTAGATTTCGCGACAGTATTGACCAGCTCCTTCGAAGTCCTGGTAGCTTCCTGTACATTGGAAATGCTATACTGTTTCAGGAAACTTCTGGTGGGTTTTGTTTTCAGTGGGGCACGGTGCAGGGAATCAGCGTTCTTGGTCTTGTGGACGACCACTTCGTCCTTCGGAAGGCTCTCGCAGGTAGAGGGATGAGACACAGATCTGCTACCAAGCAGCGTGCTATTCCCTTGCAGCATTTCCTTCAGGTTGGCGATCGAAGGAGTACAACCTTGACTACAGCCATTACTGCGAGAAGGGGACTTGGGATGATCACCTCTGAGAGGAGTTGACGAGAAAGAACCGAAACGAGACTCATGCGATATGTCCGAGCCAGAATCGCTCTTGAACGAAATTGACTTCGCTTTGAAAGAAATAGATTTCGCCCATGAGAAGCAAGGACCCGGCATTGTTATTCAACCTTGAAGAGCTAATTCAGTCACAACAATGGGTACCATCCATCTCCTGACTTGTCAGTAAGATAGCTGCTTCCAGTTTCCTGCCTCCGCTCCCAGAGATTCCTGAAGATGGATGAAGCCTAGACACCTCCTGCACGATTGATGCCAGCGCAATACCTTCCTGAGCTTAGAGGGTCGGGTGAATAGTAACACTACTGATTCGATCGCGAACCTTGCAGAATAGGATCACACTTTCTATTGCCATTTCGTTCACTGGCATAGTTTTAGATAGCTAGTCAAATTCTTTAACTGCAACCGTTTCAATCTCTTTCCGACGGCACTAGGCAAGAACGTGGCACTGATAAGTGCCGTTGTGGTGATCTTGCAGCAACCTCTGAAACAAAAGAAATCCAAAATCCAGAATCGAGAAGAAAACCTGCCCTGTCCAGACTACGGAACTCGTCCAAAACTTTAATCAAGTAGACTCTTCGTGCGGTAACGACACATTCTTAGGCAGTAAGAGAATCTACGAAATGTGAGAGAGATGAAAACAGCCACCAAAGGTTCACACTGCAAGCAATAAACCGCCTCGCAAACAGAGAAAAAAAACAACAGTGATCATAACCAAAAATCCGGGTATCGAGACGAGAATTGCATCTGAACCATCACAAACACTGGTCCCTACAACTGCCACAGACCACGTCCCTCAAGCCCACAACCGGGACCCAATCACCTAAACCACCACGCGACAGTCCACCACCCACCCACTCAGATGCTAACAAGCGCCATGAATCAGAGACTGATGCGCGACTAGCTTGCTGGAGGCCAGGCTGAGTGGGACTGAGGGTGAGCCGACGGCGCTAAACAGTGATTAGGGAACAAGTAGAAGAAGAGGATCACATCTCGAGCCGGGTGCAAGGAGCTCAAGAGCATCAAACGCCGCGCTAAAGATGCGCACACGTCTTGGCTCTTCTAACATTCCCCTCCCTATCGCTCTTTCTCTCTCTCTCTCGCTCTTTCCAAGCAACAATTCCTCCGGCACCCACTCTCTCGCACACTGCCAGCGATCAGGCACGAACCCAGACCAGTCTCCGAGGCACAGCGGAACCTGGCTCGCCTAGTCAACTGGACCCCCCATGGTCCGCAGGTTTCTCAGCCTGGCATGGAGCGACGAGGGCAGCAGCGAACGGGGGACTTCAAGCCCACGGGGACGATTCGAGCCTGTGCGACGAACGCGGGCGGAGGAACAAAATTAGATGCGATCGGGTGCTATACTTTACTGTTGTACACAGTCATTTGGGATTGGGAGCGGGCTTTCATGGTAGAGCGAGCTGGAAATAGCTGGAAGTGGGATGTTCATGGGAGCTGCGACGCGATCTTCACCGGCTTTTATTGGCAGGATCGGGGGGAGGAATCCGGTGCCTCGGCAACGGTAGGAAAAAAGAAAAAGAAAAGAAACCCAAAAAAACCCCCAAAAAAACCCATTACAAAAAAAAAAAAAAAAAAAACGCAGCACGATTGTTCACCACGATTGCGACTCTAGGCCTCCTCCCTTCGCGACGTCGGCACCGCGGCACCGAATTTTCATCCATTAAATCAACGAATGGCGCTATTCGTCACCTCGAATCAACAAAACTCCATCCAACTTCCCCACGTCCACGTCGACCAGCTCCATGACGAATCACGAGCCTGCACAATGCTGGTCACTATATAAATGGATGATTTTTTATTTCATCCATTGAAGGGATAGGAAAGGGCTGCCAATCGTTTTAATGCTCACGCAAAGCACCCGAAGCCTTTTACTTTCTCTTGCCTTTTTCTTTTGGCTTTTTCCCTGATAAATTCGAGTGGGAGTGACGTCACCCATCCGAATGCGATGGTGGGGAATGACTGGCCCGTGAGGTGTAAAGAGTGTCCTGCATAAAGAGATATTCTCCGGAAGTGTAAACACGCCCCTGGTCTCCGTTCACATGTAGAAGCGATTCTATTTGTGGATCTGGATTCGACTTTTGGGTTGGCTAGACTGGTCCTTCGCATCGTTTAGTTGGTGGGATGTGTGAAAAGGGGTATTATCCTTTTGACCTGGAGGCCTTGGACCCTAGGCTCGGAACCGAGCCTGGTGCCTCGGTCTTCAGGTTGTGTAAAAATGGAATCCGAACCAAATTCAAATTCACCTTAACGAGTGTGCGCTTGTGATTGGCTGGTGTTTGGATGAGATTCCCTCTTACTCTTGTGGATGCGGATGAATTATGGATGAATTTTTTTGATTTGGTGTGGATGGATGATAGTTTTATGCCACTGATAACATGCGTCTTGTGCTTCATGAGAGTGGTTTATTGACCCAGTAAAGACTGAAATTGGAAGAAAGACGTGGAGTGCTACAAATCATGGTAAAATCATTTGTTTACATAAAAACCACATGTTGTGTATACGTTGATTCTTCATATTATATTGAGTTTGAATTTGAATGAACGTGTAATACTCAAAGGGACAGAAACACAAACCATACTTGAATATTAATGAAAAATGATGTTGTTATATGTATTAATCATAAGATGGGTAAATTAAATAAATTCACACACACACACACACACAAAATATACATACAATAAAATTAAAATTTTAATCCTGTCAGCATATGAAAAAAAATGAGTACTGATTATTCATTCATTCATTCATTCATTCATTCATTATTATTATTATTATTATTATTTTCTTTGTACCAATTACAATTTCACTGGCTCCGAAACAATAATAACAATAAAAAAATTAATACCAAAGAATAATAACAATAAAAAAAAAAAGTAATACCAAGCAATGATAACAATAAAAAAAAAGAAGTAATACCAAACAAACAATCAAACAACTTTGCAATAGTTTTACAGCACACAAGTGCCAACCTTGTGGTGTCTCTCTTTCTTTCAGAATCGTACAATACCAATTATATGAACTTTATGGAAAGTACTTTAAAACTACATGATTATACAACAATTCGGATAATAAACACTAATTATATGCAAACTTTTGAACGTTTTTTCATTGTTTAAAACGTAGAAGTACTTTTCATAAAGTGATATGTTCTACTGAAATGAAAATTTTACCAAACCAGAGACTCAAATCACATAATTCATTCAAAAACATTGCTTCTAGATAAGCTGATTTTGAAATTCATTATTTATTTATTTTTACGAATTCCAGTAAAAATGAACTTCACAATGATTTTCTTTTGTTTTCTTTTGCTTGTTTTCTTGGATGAGAGTTTAAGGATTCTAGATAATGGTCTCATTGCACATTTAAATATATAAAGAAAAACTATTTAAAAAGGAAAAAAATACAAAATACAAAACAAAATAGAACAAATATAATCATGATGTGACCAATTAATGAGAAAGCAAATCATTTCGTTTGAAAATGCCTTTTGGAATAGAATTACTATAGCTAGATGGTTGTTATTAGCTGAAAACATTTATGATGCTAAGAGTTGGATTGAATAATAAAAGAATTGTCTACGTCAAAAAGTTAGGAATTCATTCTTTACAAGAACTCATATCATCTAAAATATACGTGATATGATACAACATTTAATTTTTTTGTACGAGTTACTTAATTAAGACATAAAACGTATATAAACTCAAAATACAAAATAACTGATACAGCACCATATTAACTAATAACACTGTAGATACATTCAACAAAACGAATGAACATTTATGTGTAGATGCATGCAATATGAAGGAATAAACATAACACATGACAGTATAACATAATTAAGCACTGACATAGTTATTTGAATATATATATATATATATATATATATATATTCACACACACAAATTCATTCACATGTGTGTGTGTATGAGTTTAACAGACAGAACCAAATAAGAGTTGTATTTTGAGAATGGGACTACAAAGGTCACTTTCTTTTGTTATTTTCAGCATTTTTCACATTAAATATAATCAACACATCCAATTCAATTAAATCTTCTAAGTCTGTATATTTTACATGTATCTTGATTACCTAAAATGCCTAAGTGAGCATTTCAATAATTTATGAATGAAGTGCGTGCGCACAAACTCTCTCAGACACACACACACACACACATATATATATATATATATATACACACACACATACATATTATAATTGTTTTATAAATTTTTTTAGTATGGTTAATAGATAATGATAGGGAGGGCAGTTCTTACTATAAGAAAACCTCTTGAAAAAATCACAAAATTTGCAACAATGTGTTTTAAAAAAAAAACCGTGCATATTTTGAATGAATTTTCAAGTTGAGATATAAAGTTGAATGAATTCATAAAAAAATCATTATAAACAAAATCCTATATATATATATATATATATTAAAGAAAAATTAAAAAAACATAAATAAAATGTTTTTGATTTTTTGACAAAGTTAATAAAGTGATGAGTTAATTAAGCTTGAATAATACAACAAATTAATGGATATATGCCATGGATGAATGTTGGATGGTGAATGCATTGAGGACATTGTAAGAATTATTAAAGTGACTCATTACAACAGATTAAGGTCAAACCTATTTGAAATCTCTACACTCTTCAAAGAGAGATTCAATGAAATTGACGTATTTTGTATGTATATATGGAAAAAAGTTGCTAAGTTGGTACCAAGTCTCTTGGCAAACAAAGAGCCTCAGCTGCATGTAAAGTCTAATGTCAAGGACAAGAATATGATAAAAATAAATAAGTAAGTGAGACTTCTCTCAAAGAAAGATGAAAAAATAGAAATAACTTGATATGCATATTAAGAAAGAAATTGGAATGGTGTCACGAATTTAGAATACTGACTAGAAATCTAAACAAGAAGCTCAAGAAGAATCGGCAAAAACTAGATTAATTAGATGAGTACAAGAACAACACTAGAGAGGTGAGCTAGAGCTCCAAGAGATGTGTTGTCGAGACTGAGGATCCCCTCAGTCTCAGCTCTTATATATACTACAAGCTAAGAAACTTTTCAAGCAGCTTCCACAAGCTAGGAAGCTTCTCAAGCAGCTTCCACGAGCTTGAAAACTTATCAAGTAGCTTCTACAAACTACAAAGCTTTTCTATAATCTTCTAGAATCTTCTACAACTTCCTAGTGTATGTCCTTGACATCCCCCCCTCCTTTTAACTTTGAGGTCTCTGAGAAGTACTCCTATTGCAAGTCAGTACCAACATAAGAAGTTAAAAATTTGTCGCATAGTGTCTGCAATATATTCCAATTGTTGTTCGCACGGTAAGTAGTTCATTGGTCCTAGTAACCAACGATAGTATTCTATGCCTTCAATTTCTAATGAAGCATGAACTTCCGTGTCTTCATTGTGAAAATGCCCTGCAAACACCCCTTCGAAAAGATCACGGTAGGCAGGTTCTACTACAAACACAATCAAGAGTGATCTGTTACTAGGTATCCTCCGTTGTCTTTGTGGTACAGGCGATTCTTCATCTCAGGGTCGTTTGTGTGAGATACTCAGTTGAAAAAACATGACTCGTATAGTATCTATCTTTTGACTATTCATATCAGACCAAAAAATATAAGCACTAAACATGAAAGAATGGGATCAGGTTACAAATTTATAGTCTCTAACTATGTCTTTTAGAGGTTCTTTCTCTCCCTTCTTTCTAAGGCCAAGGATTAAGAGACTTCAAGGAGAAGGAACTTCACTGAAAAACTTTCATCGAAAGGGCTTAGGTTTCTGAGGATAGTATCAATAAAACTCATGTACCTTTTACAACACATTGATAAGATTTTTTGTTGGTTCCCATGTGTGCTCATTGATATCATAGCTGCTCCAATATACTAAGTACTCTAATTTCTCCCATGTATGTTGCGAATCTAGTACCTTTTCCACCTCGTATTCCTCGTGTTCTTCAATTTCAATACTAGATGGCGGACATTGTACTCTTCCAAGAAAAGACGACTCTCGATAAGGCTCCAACAAAGAAACATTAAAGACTGAGTGTACCTTCATAGCAACTAGTAATCCCAAACGGTACGCCACTGGATTGATTTGCTTCTGGATGACAAACGGTCCCAATCTCTGGTAGTTCAACTTATCACATGATCGCTTGGTTTTGATATTCCATTGAAGCAGCCATACTTTATCTCCAATTTTGAAAGTAAGTGCATGATTTTAAAATTTATCTGCGGATGCCTTATAAGCTTCTTGGGCGGTTTGCAATTGAAGCTTTAACGTAGTTTGAAGCTCCGATAGTTGTTTCACAA